TAGAATGGAAATGGCGAAAATACTTTCGACCATCAATTTGAAGCAAGGCTACCACCAAATGAAGATATACAAACCACACAGGAAGTACTTTACCTTCACTCGGAATTCGTTCAAGGGAGCACCATTTGGTCTACATATGTTACCAGCCTTCTTTCAGCAGATCATGCAAGACCTGTTTCGAGACATGGACAATGTACAGGTATATATCGACGATATAGTGGTATTTACCAAGACCAAAGAGGAGCATGATAGAGTTGTGCGTGAGGTTTTGGCGAGGTTAAACAAGCATAAGTTCAAAATCAACAGCAAGAAATGTCAGTTTGGTGTAAACGAGATACAGCTGTTGGGATATCGGGTCTCCGGGGATGGTATTATGATCGACCCCGGAAAGGTCGAACACTTGCTGGATTGGAGAACCCCCACTACAGGCAAGGACGTTAATAGCATTTGCGGATTCATCAACTTTCTGTCAGATGGAGTTCCACACTTGGCAAGCTACCTTAAGCCTTTCGGATATTTACGATGTCACAAGGGTAAATTGGAAGCGTTTTGGACCAAAGGATGTGATGATGCCTTTAAGCAGCTCAAAACAGTGGTTCAGCAAGCTCCAGTAGTCCAGCCACCGAAGAATGGAGTACCATTCATGGTGGCTACAGACGTATCCGACATGGCGTTAGGAGGCGTTCTATATCAAATGATTGACGGGAAACCGAGATACGTGCAGTTCTATAGCAGGGCGCTATGAGCTCGTCACAAATCAACTGCCCGACGGTGCAACAAGAGCTATTGGCTATTGAGACTGCACTCACTCATTTTAAGGACTACTTATACGGTACACATTTCAATGTACTGTGCGATCAGAAATCGTTGCAACATCTAAAGGACATGAAGCCTAACACACAATTTGTCAGTCTGTCGATGGCACGATACGATCGCGAAATTATTATTTAGTATAACAAAATCACTTACCGAATATGTTGTCACGCTTTATACCGGACTTCAACAAGATGGTCAGAGAGTTACTAGCTACGGATTGGATGGCCAATCCTAGGTGGTTTAAGATTGCAGACAACATATATGGTCCACATACCATTGATAAGTTCGCAGCACATCATAATGCGCAACTGCCGCGATACCAAACTCTGATACATCCAGACGGTGATGGGTTTCAAATCGACCTAACAGATGAGAAGGCATGGGCGAATCCACCGTGGTTGTTGATACCACAGTTGCTCAATTATGTACATTAGCAAGATGCTACCATCACGTTGTGTTATCCCCTAAGACATTTAGATAAATGGCTCCCACAGTTGATATCAATGATACAATGTGAGCCCATATATGTGAATAAAGAGGTAGATACTTTCCTCTACCAGGGTACCCGTGCAATCTAGAAGACTCCTTGGCAACATACAATTATATGTCGAATAGGTCCAGTTGGAACAATCAAATGGACGCCATCCGAGTCCTTCAAACGTAAGGTTGAAGAATCCAAGATTCAACTCTTGACACCTAAGTCTCAACGAGAGGCTGGGACGACACACGCACCTGCAGTATGCGTCACCGAGGTACAATCTGATCCTACAGAAACAAAGAGGAACTCATCACTAGCGAAATCATTCTACAAGAAGATACGTTCTGACAGAGCAACTGCATACGAAGCCGAGACAAGGTTACTCAAACAGTTGATGAACGATTTTCCAGATGTGTACGACCATGTATCTCAACTAATGGACCAGGAGAAGACTAGTAGAATTCACACGGCCGATCTTTCAGGCGAGATTGTACCAGACGAGTCTTCAAGTCCAAGTGATATAGTAGTGGAATCCTCACCTCCAGACTTTAACAAAGCAATTTCATCGGAGGACGACATTCTGAAGTGGCTAAGGCTAAATCATGCGCTTAAACACATGGATAAGGCTAGGACTGAGAAAGATTGCAAAAGGTACGGAATTGTACACCCAAAGTTTAGGCAATATACATCTCAGGTGTATCACGAATACAACGACTGCGAAGTTAACCGGATAAAGCGCACGACAGAAATCATCCTTCGTCACACACGTGAAGCTACTGCGCCTCTTATGTCTTATGAGTTCAAGAAGCTTCTTGGGAAGTACAAACATGAGGACACGACTTACTACACAACGGAGTTTGCAGATGGCGCTTATCATTAATTTGGTTGAGCTACCCACGTCCGAACACACGAAAGAAAGATAAGTATGTCTGTCACGTGTTTGATGTTGCTTCATAATATAACGTTCTATATCCTCTGAAAGACAAATCAATACAAACTGTGGCTGAGTGCATATATAAGTGTTTCGCAGATTTCGGCTGGCCAGCGATTGTATGTACCGACAACGGTAGTGAGTTTACAGGAGAGGTCATGACGACACTGTTACTCGTTGCGGAATCATGCCACAAGATGAATGCACCTTATAAGCCTCAGACACAAGGTGCGAATTTGCGTGGAGCGTTGCTAGACGATGCTGGCATGTGGCCAAACTCAATTAACTGGGTACAGGCATAAATGAACGAGACACCGGATTCAGTCACTGGTACAACACCCGCTCACTATTCCAAGGCCGCTATAGTGAACTACAAGAACTTTTCAACAAGGATTCTCAGGAGGATCATGTGTTGCCATGATTAGAGAAGATGCGTCGTAACAGAGATGTCGTCCTTCCTTGCTTGAGAGAGATGAAGGATATCGCACTTAAAAAGAGACAGAAGCGATGGAATGATTCGAAAAAGATAGTCGAGTTTGAGGTGGGCGATGTAGTCAACGTCATGGCTCGCAACTCCGACACAACTGTGCTTACAGCTTAATACATTGGACCATTTAAGATTTCAGTGGCCGATAAGAAGAGCGGAACTTACGAAGTTAACAATGTTGACGGCTCAAGTGTTCTTAATATCGGATCACATCGAACTCCGACGACAGAAATCATACTTCGTCACACACGTGAAGCTACTGCACCTCTTATGTCTTATGAGTTCAAAAAGGATCTTGGGAAGTACAAACATGAGGACATGACTTACTACACAACGGAGTTTGCAGATGGCGCACAATACGATCTACCTTCATCGGAATTCGATGATCCAGACGTATTGAAGGCTTTTGATAAAAAGTTTTGCAAACGCCTACATAATAATAAGGCAGACACAGAGGCTATCTTACCTACAAACAACCGTCCTGATGTAGTTAAGGTCTATCCGCAGACATCATCCATTCCAAGTTTCAAAGACCATGGAATGTAAGTACCCCTTAAAGACACTAAGAAACGTTTCATCCACCATCGGGGACCTCAAGGACCTAAACCCAAACGTAATAGAGTAACCGAGTAACTTATAAAGTCTAAGTATACTTTGTCTAGGAGAATATAATATAAGCTTTGAAGCCAGTATATGATCGAAACCCGTTTCTTCGTTTCGCTTGTACAATTCATGTGAGCTTTTTGAGACTATGTGCTTCAAATCACATATAAGCCAACATTATAATTTTCAAGCTGAGGGGGGGGGGGGGGGGCTGTGAACAATCAGCGGGTTTTTGTAGTAGAAGCACATGTCAAACGTATATTATAAAGGTATGAACTTTTAAACGCAATACGGTTATAAAACCTGGTATACGTTGAACCGCAATTGTAGATATTTGTAACTGCAAATTAATCAAATAATCTAATTATAGATATCTTGATATGCAGAAAACAAACCAAACCAAACAAATAATCTAATTATAGATATTTGGAATTATAATTGTATACAACAGTGGACGGGATATATTTAATATCTGAAGGGTCTCAGGTAAAATTGACACTTGTTGACAGATGTTATATTTCTGAATACTCTCAGCGCGAGATAGCCCACTGAGAAATGGGGCATGAAAATGATCCCCCCTAGCCAGCCACCTAGATGTGCCTGTCTATACCTTCAATGCTATGGAGAGCTAGGTACCATGTGATGGGGTATAGGTGCAGACATTCAACTGCACCAACATGCTGTTTTTGATCTATTTTTGATTTTCTTAAGTTGGACTTAGAGTTATTTTATTGGTAGTTGCGATTGGAAGATTGTTTCGAAGCATGAAATGATATGGAGTGAAATATCATGCATCCAATGAAATGAAATCTTATTTTAGTTACTGATACCAAATAAATCTAAAACGAGGTAGTGAGTAATTAGAGCGGAGCATATAGACAATAGTCTCAGTCTAAAATCCATAGACAATAGTCTCAGTCTAAACTCCATAGACAATAGTCTCAGTCTAAAATCCATAGACAATAGTCTCAGTCTAAAATCCATAGACAATAGTCTCAGTCTAAAATCCCCTACTCTTTAGCTCATTACCAAGGGCTGAAGCTAAACTTCAATTACATTGTGCAAATTTACTTCTAAATCGTACTTTCTTTTACGTTAACTTATTGACATCGATAGTCAGCCTGGTTAGTCTGACTTTCACAATACCATCGATTCAGGCTGCTCTAACCTTGTACCAGGCGTCGTTGTCGTCGACTCTCACGCGTTTGAATCCGCTTACGATATGCGGGTACAACGTTCGGATCGTTGAAGGCACCCGCTGTCACCCATGTAGGAGAGCCTTCCAACCAACGTACTGCGATATGATGTGTCGAAATGTCGAGCCCCCTTCTCTTCATAGAGATTCATTCAATGTTGGCTCAGAAGCCCGATGTACTAGCCTAATAATCTCCACATTCACATGTCGGTCTCTGAGCTCAGGCGGCTTGCTGCCATCCTTTGCTCTCAGATGGTAACACTGATTTTAGGCCAAGCAATGGTTTCATGGCTTTGGTCGTTGCTCCCTGTGCGAGTATCATAACGACGTCCCCAGTCTTAAATTCAATCAAATCGAACTTACGCATCTGATCCGTAGCCTCGGCCATGGCATCAGTATACTTGATTGTTTTCTGATGAAGTTTTGGTAACATGGTCATCTCTGGGTCGTCCAACCGCTTTAGCCATGCATCATTCCTCGTAGGAATATGACCAGGTAAGATATCAGTCATGTTTGCAAACGGAACATGTCGGCGACCAAAATAAACGCTAAATGGAGCTGACTTGTGACGTCGTGATTTTCTGAGGCTCTGGTATAGCATAGTGAACGGTAAACGTTCATCCCACAATTCCATACAGCCAACATGTAGCATCTAGGGACCAGATTATCAAAAGCCAATCCAAACCCCAAACCCAGAATAATCAAATACTGAGTTTTGGAATTAGGATTGGAATATTTCTGATATTGGAGTCATCAGAAATATTAGCGGTAGAACCGGTAAGCTATACCGGGACTCCCGCGTGTGTGAGAAACACTTAAGTAAATCCTGAGTCTGAAAACACAAATAAAGACTCAGTTCGGTTCTCTCAGACTAGGGACTTTTCCTAGCCGAGATAACCGTACTTGAGAAGAGGTCTATTATATCCTATTGTCTTGTACCTTTCAGCTACTCTCCATACTCTACAATTTTTACAATATCCTTATAGATAAGTCAACTAGCTCAAACTACAGAAATACACATACTGTCAATCAATTACAGAAATGCACATAGCTAAGCACAAAAATCATACCAACTGAAGACCAAGTAGGAATTCAAGAAAGAAGACAACACAGATCACGTATAACAAGAGATTAATGATCATAATCAAGCAACGTGCACAAGCAAGTTCTCGCATTACGATTCTAGAGGACTAAAGACGTCCAACACAATAAGCAAGAAAGATCGAGATCGCACAGAGGGACTAGACGCTCTAGTATAGTCAATTAATAGTTAAATAAGATATATAACATCGCAATAACAAGTCAAGTGGGACACGACACACAAAACCACAACCAACGAGAGTGCTAGACCAAAGGATAGGAAGGCACACAAGAATCGCACACAAGTACATATGATAAAAGAAGGGTCTTAGAAGCAATAAGTGTCTTTGAGCACAAATCAAATAAGCAACCCCAAGAATTAGAATACCATAGAACTCTACCATACAAAGTCATACCTCAGGGAAATACAGACATAGTAGAGCGTCTGCAAGTATATATGAGAAGTATAAACAAGAACAGGGATACACAAGACATATAACATATCAGAGGTCCAAATCAGATCGACATCTTCATCATTTAAGGCACCACCAGACAATACTGGGCATAAGAGATAGTCCTTAATAAAGAGAACGATTATTTATATTGTTTTGAAGTATAACATGATGTATATTCATCGTACGTCATTTTACGTCCAATGATTGATAAATCAGGGGCTACCATAGCACGCACGCTTGTACCAATTATGTGTTAACATGGATTCACACAAATCATACAAACGGACCAAGGCACTGAATATGTTAACGATATACTTGCAAAAGTTGTTGAACAAGCGCCAATGCAAAACCTAATCTCTCGGCCGTATCAACCCAAAGTCTTAGGCGCGAACGAACGATCACATAGAGACCTCATGTCACTGCTACGGAAATTCGTTGAACAGAATCCAGGTAACTGGTGTTCACGACTTTCATTCGTACAGATGGGCCATAATCTGCGTACATCCAGAAGACACAAGTCACCGCGATTTAATGGGTACTTTGGTCGCAGACAGAACCAACTCACGGACTACAATGAGCCAGTGACCGCACCCAGTACAGCAGTAGTAAAATCTAGAAGAAGCCATCAGGCCACAACTAGATAGTAACGTTGCACAGTATCAAGAGAAGATGCGCGCAGCATACGATCGAAAATACTAACAGAAGTATGTAAACTTCCAGGAAGGGGAACTTGTCATGGTTCGCTATCAAGGTGAAATGAACTAGTTATCAGCACCAAATGGCGGACCAAACTAAATAGTATGCATGGAGGGCAACGGGTATTTTGTCTGTAATCTTGATGGGACTAAAGCCCCCGAATATCCTGACTCGATCAGTGATGAGCTACTTGGCCTCGTAAAGAGGGCCAGTGCTCCGAACGTATTTACTTCCAACAATCACGTATAACCAAACGAAGAGACATAGTTCTCCTCGATAGTCGATGACAGGCCGTCCATCCGAGGTGATGGATCCCAGGAGTACCTACTGCATTGGACAGATGGTGAGCGTACCTGGACATATGAATCAGACATCGCAGATACTGATGTCAATACAACATACCGTCAACGCCGGAGACGTAAGGCAGTCAAGGCCAAAGAAGCCAGCGTCAACGAGCACTGATGAAAGAACAGCGAGCCACAGACATCGCACGAGGCGGGGGACCTAAGCAAGTCTCACTGATACCACAGGACACTCCCACTTTTCTCGCCTAGAAGCATGCTCCCCCCACACACCAGAGGGACAAGGACCAGAGACTCGGCTGTAGAGCCACCGTTGAGATGCGGTTTCCTAAGCCAAGTTGAGATTAACCGAGAGCACCGGTCAAGACTGACTCCGATGAGCGTGGTAGAGGACTCCTGCTATAGTATAAATTTAATTAATCGGTAATATGTCATAGATAATGGTGGCAGGTTTTTCATGTTATGCCCCCTTGTGGATTTCCTTATGCCGGCGCTCTGCCACACCCAATGTCTGAGGGCGGAATGGTTGGGACGTCTTGTGTATAATGCCCAACGCTCGCGTAATAGAACTCACAATATTGGTCACAAATTCAGTACCCTCGTCACGCTGTATCTTACGAGGAAATCCATGCTCACCAAATACCGATGCTAACTCTGCCGCCACCGTTTTTGCATCCTTCGCAGGTATCGTCCGCAGAATGGGGTATCCCGACGGCAGAACAAGCACATGTAAAATAAATTTGCTTCCTTCAGTGGATGTGACCGCCATAGGAATGAGATCTATTTGTATGTGATCCCATGGGTACCGAGCGGTAATATTCATTAAAGGATGAAATCCCTTCTTCACCCTATCGTTACCCAAGCATGTACGACATAATTTCCGGACCTCTTCCGTAGTTGGAGGCATTTGGTCCCAATTATGTCCGGCATCCCGCATCTGTCGTACAGTAACTGCCGGCGCCGGATGTCCTTGTTCATGAAATTGCCTTGTCAACTGTACACGACGGTTAGCTTCCTCTAGCCCTGGATGATTCATCACTGTAACACCCGCACATATTTCAGGAACTTGTGCGGCGATCTGTCGTGTCTGTTTAGTCATCATCGGCTGAGCCCAATTTTCTTGATAACGTGTACTAGCGTCTTCACATACAGGTACCTCCAGACCTAGGTAACACCAAAATGATGGATTGACTTTGTACCCAGATGGAGGCTCAATACGTACCACGATGTTATGCACCCACGGATATTTACCACAAGCCTGTGAGCCGTGTTTCAAGAACATGTGAGCCGTACATGGGATAAGTAAAGGGTCTGCTCGCATCATCGACAGAAGTAATGGGAACCACGGTGTACGTGTGTTCAACAGTGAACATATTGTTGCAGACGCCTTGTCTTTCAACACTTTACGCAACACCTTATGTATAAGGCGCCATGGTGGGTTCTCCCATGCATTGTATTTGCTCCAGTCAAACTTAAACGCTCCTCCATCCTTGTCGTACGGCCAGTTCTGGCGGAGCAGAGCGTCAAGACTCGATGCAAAGGCGTCGACGTCGTTAGGCCTAAACTGTTCCTGGACCTGGTCAAAGAAACCCGGAAACAACTTCCAACATGATGTATAGAGCACCGCGGGGTAGTTGATATCCGCCGTGCCCTCATGAACACGACTCCACATGTCGGGTAACTTGTTTAGTTCTTCAGGTACATGTATATATATATATATATATATATATATATATATTTCCTATATATATATATATAGTATTCTATACGTACACACAATATATATA